ATATCCCTGAACACACAGATATCTATGGGATTAAAGGCGTGTGCCACCACCGCCACACTCTTGCTATGGCTCTAATAGCTCTGACCCCCAGACAACTTTATTTATTAACATACAATCAAAATAATATTTCAGTACAATTAGATTACCACCACAATGGGCAGTCCTAAAAACATACACATTAAGTAACATTCTGTAAGGTGAACAAGTTATACTTAGGAATATATATATGTATACACACATATAATGTATGTGCATACACACATGTACATATGCGTATGTGCCTGTAATAACAACTAACAAAAAATTTCCAAGAGAGCAGAGAGGTATCTGGGAGACTTTTGATGGAGGAAAGTGAAGGAAGAAATGATGTAATTATATTATAAACTCAAAAATAAAAGCAATAATAAAGTTAGCATTAAAAGGACACAGCTGGCTGAAGGCTGCAGAAGGAAGTGATCAAACTGTTATGTGTGAACTCCTGGAGGAACTAAAGAAAAGACAACAGACTGCAACGCACTAGCAGGAAGATTACAGAAGAGCCTCTATTTTCAAAATGCTTCAGCAGCACAGCTCATTTCCCAGACAGGGTATAGACATGAAGTTTCACGCTTCCCCTTTTATTTTGATGAGTAGTATTTTTTTAAGATTTATTTTTTTGTGTGTGTATTTTACCTGGATATGTTTGTGCATGCTTGGTGTCTGTAGAGGTCAGAAGAGGATGTTGGATCCCCTGGAACTTGAATGAAAACAAGTTGTGTTGGGAACAGAATCTGGGTCTTTGTGAAACCGCTGAGCCATCTCTGTAGGCCCTGAAGAGTAACATTGTAAATAAAGGACCCTCACTTTCTGTTGCCAGTAATGTAGTGAGAAAAGTTGGAAAGAGGTCCCAAAACTTCTGTTCTTCAATCATTCTAAATGTTTTGTTCGCTTCTACCTACAAGTATTAGTTTTTAGTTGGTCTGCTCCCTGGTGATGTCGCCCCGAACACAAGTCAGGCTCTTGGCGCAGCTGTAGCTGGTGCTACCCTTCAAACGTTGTTCTGCTTTTCTCAGCACCTTCCTTAGCTGCAGCATTAGCCGGAGCAAAGGGTTCCTTCGGGCAGAAGGCTTTAAATGCTGCTGTAACCACTTAGTTCACTGCTTGGATCAGAGAAGCAATGTTTGCAGACACATCACCTTGCTATTGGTATACATATGAACATTGATATGGATCTCAGAATGTGTGAAAACATTAGCAGTAAGCAGAGTCTGGGAAGGTGTTATTCCTTTTTCTTTTCATTTGGTTTTATACAGGGAAGAGTAATAACACAGTCCCCACTAGCACAAAGGAAGCATTCAGGTTTGCTGAATTTGAGAAAATCATGGGAGTCAGCACATTGGGGTGCAATGCATAAGACTCATCATGGCAAAGCCACCTCATGATGATGACATCTCCCCACCAGCTGAGCATAGGTATGTTATTCTTTAAGTTATTTCTCCATGTCACAGGTACATCAATTGAGAAGGTATCATGGAGGAGAATCTAGGCCATCCATGACTTCCTATGGTTCCTACAGCAGTCTGTGTTCACTGAACCTTGAAGTTCCTGGGACTCCCACTGTGCCTGATCATAGAGGATGCCAGTTCATAGAATACAACGCTGTTCCGTCTTTCCTCCTTCTCTGGCTCTGATGGCCCACTTTTTTCCTGCACACCCAGTGAGGTCATCCATGTCGTTGAGAGTTTGTGATTGCTATATATTGCCCAGAAGATGGCAGTTTTTCAGCCCTATTCCCTCTCTTCTGTCTCTTACAATATTTCAGCCAATTTCAGGTGTGGATTTTATTCTATGGAGTAAGTCTCAAACTCAGTCAGAGAGCAACTGGGCAGCCCCATATGATGATTTGAATAGGAATGACCTCCATAGGCTAATAGATTTGAATGCTTGGTTACCAGAGAGTGAGACTGTTAGAAAGCATGGCCTTGTAGTAGGTGTGGCCTTGTTGAAGTAGGCGTGGCCTTGGGGGAAGAATTCCATCACTGGCGGAGGGCTTTGAGGTTTCAAATGCTCAAGCTAGGCCCAGCATCTTTCTTCCTGCTGCCTGTCCATCTAGATGGAGTACCATGTCTGTCTCTGCACTGCCCTGCTTCCCGACCAAGATAATAATGGATTAACTTCTGAACCTGTGAGCCAGCCCCAATTAAATATTTTCCCTTATAAAAGCTACCCTGGTCATAGTGTCTCTTCACAGCAACAGAAACTCTAGCTAAGATGTACCATTAACAGTTGTGCCACTATTGAACAAGCAGGTGCATCTCTTCTGGCGGGTGAGTGTTATAGTTCACAGGAATCACAACAGTGTAAGATAGCTGATGCCTTTTCTCCCTCAAAAGCCCAAATAACATTTTCAACAACTAGCTAGCAGGAAGGAGGCTTTCAGCTCTGCTCTAGAACAATTTCTATATATCACACAACTAAGATAAGTACTGTCTTCAATATTCAGGTCTTATCAACTAGTTCTGTTGGTCAATAAAAAGTCCCTGGGACCTTGTTGGCTAACTCAAGCTTCATTAAGAAGCCTTCTCCAACTCTTATTTTCAGTGTGGTTACAAGACAGTAGGCTTTGCGCATGTGGGCGCGTGCGTGCATGTGTGTGTGTGTGTGTGTGTGTGTGTATGTGTGTGTGTGAGAGAGAGAGAGAATGAGAGAGAGAAAGAGAGAGAGAGAGAGAGAGAGAGAGAGATTCTTTTTGTTACAGCCCTGGCTGACCTGGAGCTTGCTTTGTAGACCAGGTAGCCATGAACTCCCAGTGACCTGCTTGTCTCTGCCTCCCAAGTGCTGGGATTAAGGGCATGTGTCACTATGTCCAGCAACAGTAAGTTTTCAAACAGGTTTTTAATACCCCCTTTGGCATCAGACTTTCTCCTCAGCCCCTCACCCCCATGCCTGCATCTCCTCCCTATGTGTAAACATTTGGCTCCAATATTCCTCCTTCTTAACGTTCTTATTATTTATAATCTAATATTTACCTTCCCATAAGGCATCCCCTTCCAATGTCCTCTTTTTAGATATCCAGCATCTACATAGATATTAAGTTGAACACATAGAATTAGAAATTCCAAGCTAAGATTCACATATGAGAGCAACTGAGAGCTGTTTGTTTTCTTTGCCCAATTCTCATCACTCAAGTAAGTTTTCATTGATTTACTGAAAAGTTCATAATTCCATTTTGTTTACAGCTGAATAAAATTCCATTTTGTATATGCACCACATTTCATTATCCATTAATCAGTTAAAAGGTATCTAGGCTGCCTACATTCTCTAGTTACTGTGACTAGAGACTAAAGCAGGAATAAACGGCTGTAACAAGTATCTCAGTAATGGAATATAAAGTCCTTTGTGTATGCCCAAGGATGGAATTGCTGGGTCATGTAACACGAATTGCTAAATGGTCTTATAAGTAAAAATTCTGGAGTCAGATATTGGGGTGTAAGCTGAAAGATCAGAGGAATAAAAGCAAGCCAGCCACAAGTTCTTACTGCTAGGAAATTCTCAGCCCAAGAGAAAGCTACTTCCTGTATGCTGACATCTATATACCTTTCTGTGCCCTGACATCTTACTTCCTCTCTCCACCCAACTACCTCACTTCTTCTTTCTGCCCAGCTCTATTGCTTCTTATCTGTCTATATAGACCTCCAGACCTCTATGGTTAACTAGTGCTGGGATTAAAGGCGTGTGCCTCCATGTCTGGCTCTGTTCCCAGTGTGGCCTCGAACTCACAGAGATCCAGATGGATCTCTGCCTCTGGAATGCTAGGATTAAAGGTGTGTGCTACCACTGCCTGACTTCTATGTTTACCACAGTGTCTGGCTTTATATTCTGATCTCCAGGCAAGTTGTATTTGTTAGAGCACAAGTAAAGTATCACCACAGAGTCATGTGTCATCTCCATTAGGAAACACATACTAATTTGTATAATGGCTGTACCAGTTTGCACTCTTTTTTTTTTTAAATTATTTATTTATTTCATGTGTATCAGCATTTTGCTTGCAGGCATATCTGTGTAAGGGTATCAGATTCCCTAGAACTGAAGTTACAGACAGTTGTGAGCTGCCATGTGGGTGCTAGAAATTGAACCTAGGTCCTCTTGAAGAGCAGCCAGTGCTTTTAACCACTGCGCCATCCCTCCAGCTCCCAGATGTTTGTTTGTTTGTTTTTGGTTTTTCAAGACAGGGTTTCTCTGTGTAGCTTTGCGCCTTTCCTGGAGCTTACTTGGTAGCCCAGGCTGGCCTTGAACTCACAGAGATCCGCCTGGCTCTGCCTCCCGAGTGCTGTGATTAAAGGCGTGCGCCACCACCGCCTGGCTCAGTTTGCACTCTTGCAAACAGTGAATATGGAGACCTCCTTCTCCATGTGCTCACTAATCTTTGTTTCCTTCTTTGGCATCTCAGAGTTTTCATCATTATTATTTAATTTTTATTATCACATTAAAATTGTTTTACTTGCATATGAGTGTGTGTGTGTGTGTGTGTGTGTGTGTGTGTGTGTGTGTGTATAGACTCACACATGCCATGGCATGTAAGTGGAAATCAAGGAAACTCATAGGAGTTGATTCTTCCCTTCCATCATGTAGGATCTGAGGATTGAACTTGTACTGCCAGGGTTGGCAATAGGCACTGTTACCTTTTGAGCCATCTTGCTGCTGGCTTTCTGAGTACTGAGACTATAGACATATGCCAAATGTCTGCCTATCATTTTTTCTCTTTATTTTTGAGATTATAATATAATTACACAATTCCCCCCTTCTGTTTCTTCTCTCCAAACGCTTTATATACCCCTCCTGCGCTCTGTCTAATTCATGCCCTCTTTTTACATTAATTATGTTACATGCATATATGTTTTTATATATACATATATGGTCAATATAACCTGCTCAATCTATCATTTTTTGAGCTTGGAGGATCTACAAATAAAGTTTATTTTCCATTGATGATGGTAATGACTTGTGCTTTCTTTCTTTAGTGTGTTCTTCATTATTCACTAATGAAAACTAAATTCTACTTCTAAATCCTGTTTTCATATTGAATGGTCCAATTTGAGTATTTTGTCCTCAAAGCTATTAACAATTGAATTAGAATTATCTCAGATACTGTCACTAATGGATAACACTACAAGATATTTGGGTTGTCTATGATTTAAGGTTTTCTTTTAAGAAAATGCACTGATGTCTAAAATCTGAGTGCCTCTGACTTTTTGAATATTTTTAACTTTCTTGCTATTTTGACTGGAGATTGCTGTTATCTTCCTCTACCACCAGCTATTATGAGGGATGACATTCAATAAAACTTAAAGCCCTTTTCTATAGTAATCTTCATTATTGGATTCAACTTCTATTTCTCAATCTTGTCTACTTTCTAGAAAAAGAATTCAATTCAGTTTTCGTAGTTTTTTTTTTTTTCAAAAGTATTCCTATATAGATTTTTCAGTTAGATTTCTTTTCAATACTTGTTTTCTTGAGGAATTTGGAAAGTTAGCAATGAAAGATCATATTTGCATAAACTAGAAACACATGCATCTGTGTCTAACACTGACTGAAGTGTTGACAGTTGGTGGTAGATGCAGTTATATTAAATTTAGTCAGGTATTGACATGCTTTGAGTTATAGAAAACCCAGCCATATTTAAAATACATTTAACTTTTAAAAAGTCAACGGTTCTCAAATATGATGATGACTTAAAAGTAGAGCTTATGAGAGACACTATTAGAATTGACTGTCAGGTTAAAATGAAGGAAAAAGTAAATGAGAGTGTCCACTGGAGAGCAAGAAATTAGAAAGAACATTCCTCTCACAAAATCTGACAGGTTGAGAACAGCAGTGCTCTTAGATTACCATTAAAGTGATCTTAATCAATAGTTTAAATCGGGAGATAGAAGTTGGATCTCTCCTTAGCTATGTATAGATGAGACCTTCTGCACATGCAATTGCATACCCAGATGTGTTTGCATAGAGAAAGAGAGAAACTATGTTTCTTTACAGAGCAGATAAGTGTCTTTTTTTTTTTTTTCATTTTTCAAGATAGGGATTCTCCATGTAGTTTTGGTGCCTGTCCTGGATCTCGCTCTGTAGACCAGGCTAGCTTTGAACTCACAGTGATCTGTAGAGATCAGCCTGGCTCTGCCTCTTGAGTGCTGGGACTAAAGGTGTGTACCACCGCCACCCGGCTGATAAATGTTTGATATTAATAAAGAAAAGCAAGTATTGTGGCTGGTGGATGTCAGAATTTTTGGACTTTCAGCTCATCCAAGTTTGAAAGCTTTCATAAGAAACACCTCCCCAATGTATCGGTTTCAAGGTTCTCTGTAGTCATGGTTGGTATGTGGACAGTAACCTACATTGTGCTTGTGTGCATGCATATATAGATAGATGAGCACAACATATTCATATCTATCTATCTATACATATAGAAATAG